AATGCTCCAGAGAATAGCAGTTTTGTAGTTTCTTTTATACATTGAAATTAAGGAGAGAAGTAAGGAAGGTTACAAAGAAATAGGAAAAGCAAGTCCTGGATTGGGTTACAGATAATTAACAAGATTATGTGCTGTCTTTAAGGTGATTAAGCTTATTTCAAAGGTGTGTTAACCTAGATGCACAAAAACAATGGGCATGGCTTGCTTACGGCAAAAATAAACCTTGAACTAAAAAAGTCGTATGCCTGGGATGAGATTACTCTCCATGAACTCCCTATTTAAGAATTTATGATCAGATCACCCTGTGAGAGCACTTTCCATAGAACCCCTTTCCATCCACATTAATAACTAATTTCAACTCTACTTTAGAAGATTATGAGTCTTATCAGATTACATTGCCAATCAAATTACATTGCCTAATCAAGTTATATTATTTTTCTTGCTGAAACTTTTAATACAGGTTCGTTATTATTTAAAGTTTATTTTTCATTTGGTCAAGTATTTCCATAGAAAGCAGATAAACAATTGTGAAATAACATTTAATGTTCTTACATAAGCTATAATTGTCAAAGCTTTAATGCTTTTCTTAAAAAGTTTTGCAAACTAAATCTCTCTCTCTCTCTCTCTCTCTCTCTCAGCTAAGCCTTTAACTTTAAACTAATATGAAAGTACAAGATTATCTTGCAATTCTTTTCCCTCTATGACAAGAAGCACTCTCTATGCCCTGTCAAGTACACAGGAAAATGGATACCAGATGATCCCCCCTTCACACTGAAAGAGACCATTAAGCTTAGAGAAATAACTGTCTAGTTTTCTATTTTTCCCCTAAGATCAATAGATTGTCACATCTGTAGTAAGAGAAGATTCAGGCATATATTTATTGCACAATAAATATGATATTATTAATTATAAAATGTATCTTTAAGTATATTACATCAAATATTAATATCTGTTAAAATTTCATTTCAAGAACTTAGTGACACAACTTTTATCTGTTTATTCTACATATTTTTTTTACCACCATTCATTTATCTTTACCTCTTAGCAATGTTTTTCTTGAATGAGTTTGTTTCTATTTGTGTAATTATCTTTAAACTGGTGTCATAGAGAATAGAGTAGTTGTCTACTTACATACTAGTATAAAATATGGACTTTATTATGTTTTTAGCAATTGTTAAATTATTCTAGCAAGGTATTTATGTTTTAAACTTAAGCTAATTCAGGTATGAGTTACTGGGATCTTATATGTTATCTTACTAATATTTTCAACGCCTTGAGTGCTCTGTGAATCTCAACCTGGGGAAGCATCCATTCTTGTTTATTATCATGCATTCTAACACACTGCTTCACCCCCTTTCCAAGTCTGTTATTTTTGAGTTATATAATTTAGACACAATAAAAGAGGAAACAAGTATAATTCCATGGCACAGAAAAGAAGAAATTAAATATTATTAGACTAAAAAATATATAGGCTTAGATTTAAGGGTGGTGTCTAAAGATAATAAAAGGCTAAGAAAGGCTGTTCATTAAACTAAACTAAAATAGTGAATTAAAGAAAAAAGAGTTTTGTCTCCTAAACATCAGTTCTTTCTAATCAATATCTCAAACCCAGTAAAAATGATTTTAATGATTCTACTTGTGGTTGAATTTTTAAATTAAATACATTTTCATAGATCAATGTTCGTTTCTATAAACAGAATGTTGGCTATTTTTGCACATTGTACATGGAGATCAAAGACCCAGGCTACTTTAATGAGGTGTTAAGATTTTGAAGATCTATAGACTTTATGATTGTGACTAAAAAGTAATTTTAACATCATCTTTGGTTATGTATACTGAATTTTAATTTGAGCAATAGACATAAAGAAGCTATATAGAATTTTAAGAGGTATCTTTGACGAGTCAGAAAAAATCGAGTTTCTCTGTGGTATTTTTGCACCCACTTGGCATTAATAAATATATAATGTCAAAGAATGGTTTCAAAGCAATAGAATATGATAGACCCAATGAGTTCTTAAAATATACCTGAAAGAATTTATGATTATATGTCTTAGAAAAATAGAGAGTTTAATACTGTTTTCCTTTGTTATTCCATGGTTTGGTTGCTGCATGGTTGTTTCTAAAAGACATATAAATAGAAAAGGTTAATTTACTAGTTATAAATTCAATAAAAATTTCCTAAGAACAAAAGGAAGAAAATGTATTTTTTAATTTTTTTACATTTTAAGCCAAATTGAAGTAAGAGTGTTTTAATGTTTTAGCTTTTCCCTTATCTGAAATTATAGTGGAATTGTCAAAGTTATAAGAACAAAACCTTGATAACTGAATAAGGAGAATACAGAAATAGCACCTTGGTGAACATAAGCATTTCCCCCCAGTATGCTTTAATAAATACAAACATAAATATTATCCTTAAATGTTATAAATGTTATCCTTAACTTTTATTTTTCCTCTACCACATTTCATTATCTAACTCTCCAAATCTCAAACAATATTAATAGATTCGATTAAATGAGCAATAATCTCTTCTTACTCAATATTGAGTATGTGAGTACTCAGAATCAGAGCTTGCAAATGGAAAGGTAGGGAGAATCAGAATTTGAAGAGGATGGGAAAACTACAATGACATGTCACTTCACACTTATTAGGAGAACCATTATCAACAACAAAAACAACAACACAAGATAAACTTTGAGGAGGATGTAAAGATAAGAGAAACTTTGTTCACTGTTGGTAGGAATGCAAAATGGTGCAGCAGCTAAGGAAAATAGTATGGAGGTTCTTCAAAAAGTTAATAATAGAACTACATATAATTTAGCAATCTCACTTCTAGGTATATATTCAAAAGAATTAAAATTAGGATCTCAAATAGATATGTGCACTTTCATATTCGTTGCAGTATTATTCACAATAGCCAAGATATGGAAACAACCCAAGTGTCCATTGACAATGAATTGATAAAGAAAATGTGGTATGTATACATAAAACAAAACAAAACAAACAAAGGGACACAAGAAAACTTTGGGAGATTTTAGATATGTTTATTACCTTGATTGCAGTGATGGTATCATGTATATTTGCATATTTCTAAACTCATTAGATTGTACATTTTAAATGTTTCAGTTCATTATATGTCAATTTTACCTGAATAAAGATGTTAAAAAAAATAACTGAGAATTGGGAATAAATAATTTGAAGATAATGAGAAGGAAAAGCACTAATTTAATTTAGAAATGTGGCTATTTTTGTGTCTTTCTGGGGTATTTACTATTGCTCCTCATATATATAGGTTTTGTATATTTCTTGTTAAACTATGCCTAGTAATTTTATCTATTTTGTTAGTATCATAAACAATTTATTCATTTCGTTGTTTCATTCACTACAAATGTTTATTAAACATTTGATTGTTCTACTGGCTATGGTTTGTATATCTAAGGCTCTACTCACATTTTAATTTATATTTTACAATTTACTATTTTTCTATATTCTCTTGTACACTGTAATAGTTTTCTAAATATACATTCATTGAACTGCAACTAAAGATAGATTACCTCTTCCTTTCCAATATTTATGTAACTGGTTACCTTCCCTTGTCTAATTTTATTGTCTATTTCTCCAAATATATGTTTCATATATTGAATGAGTTTATTACTCAGATAATTTGTATCTGAATAAACTTGATATATATTCAAACAAATTCAAATTTACATGTGAATACTGTAAATCAAACACAGATACACAATACACATTAACAACCATATATGCATTGGCTTTTTGGCATGAAAAGTTGTTGACTTCAATGTTGTCTTTTGAATTAGAGAAAGGCAATAGAGTAGGAGCTGATAAATATCTAGAGAAAATGTGGATATCAAAGACACTAGTTATCACCGATGTTTTCATTCTTTCATCCAGGCGTGCAGATAAAAATTTATGACTAGATGTACAAACACTGAAAAGAGTTTATCTGGGGGCTTGTCTTGAAATATTTACTTGAAGACTCATTCTGTTTAGCTGATAGGTAAATTATATAGGCAATACAAAGATAGAGAAATTATTCTATAAAACATGTAGAACATGTAAAACATTTTCTTTTATTTAGATTGAACCTGAAACCCATGACTGATCAAGAATATTTGTAGTCAAGTGTATGTGGTGTAAGCAAACTTGAAGAGTTGTGTAATGCTTCCAATGGTTTCCTTTGTTTCCTCCACCATCACACAAAGTACATCTTTGAGGCACTAATCCCTACTTAAAATTTGTATGAAGTTGTTGCCACATTGTTTACCAAACAAAACAATAAGTGGTTATGTTCTATTCCAGTATTTAGTTATTAGTAATATGATATTTGGAACTCTATGAAAAAAAGACATATTAAGTTAATTTGTTTTTCTCCTAAAAGGTTGCCCAAAGAAACATAATAGTAATTAGCATTCTCAAGGATGTTGCATAATGAAAGTGTGAAGCTTTAAAACACTTATTTAATAATCTAAATTAGCACTTTTTTTTAATAAACGCAAAGATCAATATAATCACCAAGATTTTCCAGGTATTTCTTCATTATACAGAGCAGTTTGACTCTGTTGTAGTTCCTAAATTCGAATTATCATAGTCAATTCTCACTATTATAGGACTCAGAAAAAAAAGGCACTTTAATTTTTTATTTTATTTTATAATTAATAATAATTCTATGCTGCACCGATCTTAGATATTAATTTTATATACTTCTTAATAATAACCCAAGATTATTAATCATTACCAGTTATTATTTCAGATATGTCTGGACATATTTAGTTTTTGGGAGCAGTGGAAATCATGATAACAGACAACATTCAGTGCAAACAAATCAATAGAAGGATATGCCCTTAACAAAGATTAATCCCATTAATAATGTAAAGTATGAAGAATGCTAAGAGTAAACAAATCTGTATAATCTTTTCTCCATTTAAGATCATATTTCTCATCGAATAACACCTCCCCAACTAGGGGTTATTTAAATTAAGCTTCCTAATGGCAAATTATTGCTGTTAAAGTTCCAGCTGGAAATTTCAGGTAAGAAATTTAAAGCAATATATAAGCTATATAAAAGCAATGTATAGTGTACATTTGGACTTATTTTATATTTTCTTCTAAAAGCAATATCAACCATTACAAGGTTGTGAGCTAACTTTTGGTTTCTTTTATTACTTCCTTTTGAAAAAGTTTTCAGTTCTATTTTGAAGTAATTTGAAGGTTTCTATCCACACACCCCCACTCCCTGCCTGCTCTCCTCCACCCCGGTGTTAATTTTAGAATAATTGTATGATATCGAGGTATTTGTATTATAGAGTTTTATCTAAGTGTGAGTTTTATCTAAGTGCGAATTCACTGGCCTCTTTAAAAGTTCTTCTATTGCCTCTAGTTCTTATGAGTGGAGAATTCATTTGTTCCTTCATTAGGCACATATAAAGTAACAAATAAAATTTATACTAATGTATGGTGAGGCAAAAACGATTCTTAAAGTAACCATAGTGGTCTTCAAAACAGCACATGTACATGGGTCAATATGTCATCCTTTGGTGGGTATTTTATTTTCTTAATATTGTGTAATGGATTATTTATATTTATATATTTTAAATTTATATACTTTATATATCAAATAAGTTATGCAAAATCAAACTTATTTATTAAAAAGAGGAAATTTAAAGCTTCTCAAGAAAATTCTATTGTAAAAGCAATAACCAGTTGTGGTAGTATAAATATTATTCTTGCTCCATTTTTGTGCAATTAATTAAAGCACATCTTTATTATTATCTATGATAAAAAACATTTGCATATACTAGCTTTTTTTTAAACATGTTAGTTTTTCTTTGAACACACCTGATTTTACTAATATCTTTATCATATTTTTAGCTATAGTTTCTCAAAAAAATTCTAAAAAGAGTAGACTAGCTAGAATAATTAAAATCACAAATTTAGACCCTCTTTTTGGAGAAATCTTTTTTACAACCTCTTTAAATCTTTGTGGTCAATATAAATTCTTCATTTAGTTTTATGTTACATTTAGGAACACAAACAAATCTAAAAGTTAACCTTAATAGTTTGAGAAATCTCTTAATACTGGTCACATTACTGTGTTGTGAAGGCAGAGGGAGCTGGTGCACTGAATTAAAAATATGCAGTTTCTGACCTGCTGAATGAGGAGACACAACTCACCCGTGCCACATTGACAGGTAGCTCCCTAAACATCTGAACTCCCACTTTGGGAAAGTGAAATGTCTATGGTATTTTTATTGAAAATGCAGTTTCAATACGCTCACACAATGGAAACAGAGTAACAAAATCTATTACTTACAAATCCCAGAAGTGAGAGAGTGCAACTGAGCCAGGGGAAGGGCGGCCCTCTATCACAGATTACAAACCAGCAAGAGATAGAGAGCAGAGTAGCAAGCACCGGTTACTTATAAGGTAATTGGGGTGGAAGTCACAAACTTTTCTCAGGCTTAACGTTAAGTGGTTATTTTAAAAGTTGCCCGGGAAAAGTAAAGTGGAACTTACAGCAGGCATCTTAAATTCAAGTTCTTATCTAAATGTCCAGACTCTGGGTGTGAGTAGGGTTGCCATATTATAAAATACCTAGGCAGAAAAACAGAGTCTTTCTTTCTTCCTCAAAAGTTATTTTTCTCATCACAATTGACACCATGATGCCTAGGTATTAATCTTTAGAAAAATTCATAGGCATTGTCTGGGCAGTGGAGATCTTAAAAGCCAGAAGCAGGATTTTGGTCATCCAACACGTGAAACATTTAAGCAAAGCAAAACTGACAATCACCAATATCTACACACAAATGATAGTTTTAAATCTTGTCCTTAGTCATCACCATCCTTCTTTTGCTGGAGTCAGGGCAAGAAAACAAATCAAAGCCCTTGCTTAAGATTAAGGTAGGTATTTGATTTAAAACATGAGTGAGGTTATGGAATATTTTTATTTATGGGGCCATCTTTTGTATATGTGTCTGAATTTGTCCAGAATTATTAATATACATGTAGCAGGTCGCTTTACAAATGCATATACCTCCTTCCTTGGCCAGTAAATAGTCTAAAGCTAAACGATTATCCAAACTTTTCTGTACTGAATAATCCTGTTGTTGCTGCATTAAGGCTCTGGTGTAACAGCTCAATGCATTCAGCCAGAGTAGCTGACAGGTTGATATTTGGCTTAATAATTTGTTGCTGCATTCCCAGTGTATTGGCAGCTAGATCAATCTCTGCAAGGGATAGCAGCGCACCAGCTCCCAGTATAATGGGGATGGATATTGTACGCTTTTGATGTGAGAGGGCAGAAAGAGAGACGGATAGGATGTCCTACTAAGAGATTAGTAAGGGCAATCCCAAAGAGACTAAAATACTTAAGTTTGGACAGATGTGACTCCCCAAGAGCCAGCTTGGAGGCAAATGCTTCAGAGGCTGAGGGAAGGAGAACCGCATATTTGGAGAGCCAGATATGTGTTATGGCCCCAGGGCACTGAGCCACAGTAGATACCAACTGTGTGATCAGGGAAGCTGAAATAAGTTTGGATTCTCTCCAGATGGCTGGGCCACAAGGCCCAAGACCATGAAGACTGTGCTCCTTGGAATGAGATGTAGGTCATATTCATTTATGTAGCATTGGTGTCTGAGTAGATACGGAGGATCATAAAGGGCACATGGGGGATCCTACCAGGTGCCACATGCTCTATGGCAAGTGTCCTGCATGGAAGCAGTTGAGCACCATGGGGAGCGGCTGGGCAAGCCACAGGGTCACATGGGGTGCCTTCTGTTGGGCAAACAGGGACAGGGTCAATAAATAAGCGAGGTAAGCATCTAAGGTGGGAAACAACCTATGATGGGTCAGGTAACATGACCAGCAATTACAGAGGCCCTCAAAATGAGCTCTGTGTTCTGTCCATTGTATAAAAATATTAAAACTATTGGAGGGCTTGATGGCTGTATTGTGCAGCCCTGAGTGGTCATCACTGAGGAAGAGTCCCCACGGAGTGGTATCAGGAGGCGACCCTTCAGCTATGATCTTGGAGTGTTGTATTGGGGAGATGCTGTAGTGGTGGCAGCATCTACATCCAGGGAGGGGTCCTCCCAAGAGAAATTAAATTAACTAAACCCCAGTAGGATGCACAATGTGGGCCAATCCAATGGGTGTGGTGAAATCAAGCAACCCTGTAAGGTTGTGAGATTTAACACATACCTTGGCCTTCCAGAACTCTAAGGTGCAACAGAGAGAAGCCTGGCAGAGTACCACCTCACATTGGAGTAGCAAGCATTGTAGTAAGCAAAAGGGCTCAGGGGATAAACATATAGCTAATTCTGCAAAATGCCACTCACAGGGTCACCAGCAGAGAATTTAAACAAAAAAAAAATTCAGTTCAGCAGTCAGGTCCCAGGGAGAGCCATCTTGGTGTCATCTCTGCCCTAGGAAAAGTTGTAGAAGGCAGCATTTGGGATGAGGTCATGAGGTGAGGCATTATCACCTCCAGCATTGTTGCAAGTAAAGGGAGCCATCCCAGAGTGGAGTGGCTCTACCAGGTAGCCACCCAGGAGGGGAACTGAGCAGTCTAATGAAGTCGCATGAAGAGTTAGGATGCCTTTGTTAAGGTTTGATTGCACAGTTGAGAGAGTTTATTGGTATCACAAATTTTGGGGGTTCTTGGGGATGCACCTTGCAAATAACTGGGTGGTGCTTTCCTCCAAGACAAAGAAGGTCTCCATCCATAAATTGTGAAGGTTGGATGCACACGTGTAATCTTGGTTTAAGGAAAATTTAGTTCTGTGCTCCTGACAATTTAATATTTGGCCCTATATTATCAGAGATGGGTCTGAACTGCATAAGCTTATCAACCAAATAGGGTTGAAATTAGGATAATGTAATGGCCAATACCTAGAAGTTGGAATATTGTGACTGGGCTGGGCTGGTAACTTTTAAGCATGTGTGCCATTGGTCCCATTTAAGACATCAGGCTTGAATCGCCTGGTTAGTATCCACACCTGGTAGTATTTTGGATAAAGTCACTCTAGGGCTGATTTCCAATACTCATCATCCTCACAACGTGGGGTGCAACTGCTCTGTGGTTTTAACCACTTTATAGTGTTGACTGTCTGGGGTTGAGGAGAAGCCCCATAACCCATGTGTCAGACAAAACACAGAGTAAGGCCGGCAGTAGCGAGCATCTGAATTTTATAGTTTTGTGCCTGCCCATCGACTGCTCCATGTCAAGATGTATTATGGGGCTTGTATGGGAAAACAACTCATTGGTGGCCTCCTCCAAAATCGGGTAGGGCCAACTGTTATAATTGTATCACCATACTGTCATCTTCTAATGTTATTGGTGCCAACCAAACTGATTGCCTCTTCCCTATTCTTAGAGGTCCACATCATCCCCTCAGTGGGCCAGGTGCAATTATTTCCACTTCCCATGGTGAGGTATGATTAGGGAAAATGAGCTATCCACTAAAGCCACTATACATTGGTAATTGTGGTTCAAAAAAAGCAGTATAGGGGTCTGTGTTCTTCTAAAGGGCCAAGAATATGTATGACCAGGGGCTCATAGCTAACCATTCCTCTCTGGGCCCAGCAGCCAGCCTTCCCTTCTGGCACTAATCTAGAAGAACTCTCCTTAGCTCCCAGGACCTGATAGACTATGTCCCTGAACCCTGCCTAGGGAAGAGAGGCGGATTTCTATTGTCCCAGTTAGCTCACTTTGACTCAACACAGGACTTTTGAGTCAATATACTGCTGAACAAGGAGACACAAATAGGGGTAATAAAGGTGGGGGTGGGAGTGATGGCTTGCTCAGCATAAGAGCTCTCACTTTGGGAAAGTGAAACTTAGGAATTGTTTTGATCGAAAGCACAGTTTCAATATACCCACACAACAAAAAATAGTCACAACATTTATTACTTACAGATCCCAGAAGTAGAGAGGGGCATGCAATTGAGCCAGGGAAAAGGCAGTTCTCTGTCCCAGGTCATGAGCCAGCAGGAGATAGAGGGTAGGCTACCTAACTTTTTGACTTTCCATGGAAGCATGCTTGACTTAGTAACCATCACCTAGTAATATTACTCATCATTTCTTGCATATATACCCGGAAGCATGCTTGACTTAGTAACCATCTCCTAAGAGCCCCTATTCACTAGTAATATTACTCATCATTTCTTGCATATATACCTGTACATAGTTTATTTATTGTAATTTTTTTCTCAGTGATTCAGAAGATAAAATATTTTCCTAAACACATTATTAAAGTGGTAGCGAACATACTTACTTGTTTGTACGTCACATTTTAAGTATTCTCTTTGTAATAATCTTATCTATTAATAACTAGCAACTAATATACTAATGTTTAATTGTTGCTAATGACATTATATAAAATATATTTAATATTGAAAAACCTATAGAATTAACATCTCTACATTTCTGATCTTATCTGAGGTTTCAGCACCCAGGCCTGAGTGTAGAGTTTGGATATACGGTGGCTTCAAGCAATCTAATAGTAGGAATTTAACAATTATGAGACACAGAGAAAGGGTTGAAAGATTAGATTTAAGAAAAAGATTCATAACCAAAGCTAAAACAACAGATTGAGAGGTACGATGCATGTTATCCCTAAACCTATAGTTATAAAATACGGAGCTACCAAGACAAATACCATGTGGTAGAGAGAAGGCTCTTAAGACTATCACTGGTTTGAATCAAAACTGAAAAATGATTCGTATTTCCTTTTTTGCTTGAAAAGCAGAGAAATTTGTTTGTCACATCTCATCAAATCTTCTACGTCAAACCACATCATGTTGATAAACAACATTCTGCTGCTGGCTCTCCAGATAAGTATCCTAGGAAACACTCTTGGTGGGAATGTTCTGATATGGCCAGTGGAAGGCAGTCATTGGCTAAATGTTAAGATAATTATAGATGAGTTGATTGAAAAAGAGCATAATGTGACTGTCCTAGTTGCTTCTGGTGCACTTTTCATCACGCCCACCTATAACTCATCTCTGACATATGAAGTATATAAGGTGGCCTTTGGCAAAGAAAAAATAGAAGACGTGATCAAAGGCTTTGTTTTGACATGGATGGAATATAGACCATCTCCTTCAACCATCTGGAAATTCTATCAGGAAATAGCCAAAGTCATTGAGGACTTCCACATGGTGTCTCGAGAAATCTGTGATGGTGTTCTCAAAAACCAAAAGCTGATGGAAAACCTGAAGAAAAGCAAATTTGAAGTTCTGTTATCAGACCCAGTATTTCCTTGTGGTGATATAGTAGCTTTAAAACTGGGAATTCCATTTATATACTCCTTGAGGTTTTCTCCAGCATCAACAGTGGAAAAACACTGTGGGAAGATACCATACCCTCCTTCCTATGTTCCTGCTATTTTATCAGAACTCACCGACCAGATGTCTTTTACTGACCGAATAAGAAATTTCATATCGTACCACCTACAGGACTACATCTTTGATACGCTTTGGAAATCATGGGATTCCTACTATAGTAAAGCTTTGGGTATGTAACTTTTTTTTTTTTTTTGTATTCTTTGAATTTGAACGGAGCCTTATATCACCTCTTCTTTATTTCCCTATGCCTATTCTTCTTCAATTCTACATATTGATTACTATTGCTATCATTTGATAGCAGGAAGGAACATAAAACACAATATGCTTTAGAACTACTGTGTGTTGTTTTCTAATTTTATAAACTTAAAGTACTAAGTTTTCTATGCATAAGATATAGTGACCAATACCTTAGTTTAAAATTAAGACTAGGTTCTCATATATGTATTGTATTGAAAATAGAAATTGCCTAAAAACTTCAGTGGTGTGAGGGGAAAGCTAAAAGAAAAGCTTTCTACAAGCCCATGATTAATACAGACATTTGTGTGTGTGTGTGTGTTTATATACATGTATATGGATAATCTCTGATTGTTGCTCACAGACTTCCTACTGTTTACTAGGAACTCTCTTGAATAGGCAGGATACAACAAAGACTGTGATGGAGTTCCCGGCTTCAAGGGTTTCACAATCAAACAGCAAAGTTAGACATGAAAGGGAATATTTACAATATGAATGATGTAGATAATTGTTAGTGCTGAGCTGATTGAGAAGCGAAGGTTTCAGCGGTGAGTCGTCCAGTTGAAAGAATGCATGAGGGGCCGACGTGAGAATGAAACGGCAGGCACCAACTTATTGTGTAAGGCAGGGAAATGTGGAAAAGAATGCTGGAGATATAAGGATTGCAAGAATGAATTAATTCAATAAATATTTTCAAAGCATCTTGTATGTCATACTAAGCATCTTGGTTTGTATCTAATAAGCAATTGGGAACAATTTAAAGGAATGTATTGTGACTAGATTGTATCTTATATAAAACACATGAACAGATGTGGACCTAGAGTGGAGAAATGTTAAATTGTAGGCTACTGCAGTACTCCAGGAAGGATATGATAAAAGCATGTACTAGTGAAGGAGTTTATGAACTAGAAAAATAATGCAAATGAGACATAGAAAAGCAGACTTTTCATAAACAATTTCTGTTTCCATATGTGACCTTGACGAAGGAATTAAGTTTCTTTGCACTGACTCTTGTTTATCCCATCTCTAACAGGGCTATCTAAATAATTAAATTAGTTAACAATATGAAAAGATGTTAGAATAGTGTCTAGAAGGTAGAAACTCTTCAATTATTGTTAGTTGCTTATTAGGTAAAATTAATAAAATCTTATGACAAATTGGCAAGAGTGTTATAAGGAATGAGAGATTAAATTATTTCTTTTTAAACTGAGATATAATTGAAATAAAACATTAGTTTCAGGTGTACAACATAATGATTCAATATATGTACATTGATTCAATTTCAGGTGTATGACATAATGTTTCAATATATGTACCCATCATCATACCTAATTACAAAATTTTTTCCTTGTGATGAGAAGTTTTAAGATCTACACTCTTAGCAAGTTTCAAATATACAATACAGTATTATTAACTATAGTCACCATGCTGTAGTGCTGCACATTATATCCCCATGACTATTTATTTTATAACTAGAAGTTTGTACCTTTTCACTCCCTTCACCCATTGTACTCAACTCTACTCCCACCTCCATCAAATACCAATCTGTTCTCTGTATCTATGAGTTTGGGTTTTTTATTTTTATGTTTCTTTCCTTTTTACTTTTAAGATTCCACATATAAGTGATATCATGTAGTATTTGTCTTTCTCTATCTGATCTATTTCACTTAGGACAAAGCCCTCAAGGTCCATCCATATTGTCACATTGGCAAGATTTTTTTTTTTAAGGCTGAATAATATTTCATTATATATATAACAACTAAGAACAGTTCACAGAAATGTATTATGACTAGACTGTATCATATGAAATACATGAACATATGTGTGTGTATATGTTTTATATTCATGTACTTGATTAAAAAGTGGGCAGGGGATCCAAATATACACATGAACATGTAAAGGACTTAGCACATATTAGCACTTAGAGATTGTCAGCTATTATTGTTATGGTTTTGGAATATAAATGGTAATCTTGAGAGTAGTTTAGATACACAGACAAGCTAGGCAATACTTCAGCCTTCAGAATATATATATTCAGATGTATATATATACACACATATTTGAATATATATATTACATCTGAATATATATATGTGTGTCTAGAAGGTAGAAACTCTTCAATTATTGTTAGTTGTTTATTAGGTAAAATTATGTGTATATATGCATCTGAATATATATTCATCAATGGATAAAGAAATAAAGAATAACGACATCTCACATATTCTTTATTTATCTCACATATTTTTTATTTTTTATTTATTCATCCATTAATGGACAGTTAAGTTGTTTCCATGTCTTAGCTATTATAAATAATACTGCTATAAACATGATGGGCCAAACTTTTCTTTGAAATAGTGATTTTCTTTCCTTTGGATGATACCTAAAAGTAGAATTGAAGGACTATATGGTAGTTCTATTTTTAATTTTTTGAGTAATCTCTATAAAGTCATGCACTGCATAATGATGTCTCAGTCAACAATGAACAACATACATGAGGATGGTCCCATAGATTATAATGGAGTTGAAAAATTCTTATCATCTAGTGACAACAGTGGTAGATGTTATGACATTGTAGTGCAACGCATTACTCACCTGTTTGTGGTGATGCTGGTGTAAACAAACCTACTGTGTTGCTAGTTGCATAAAAATATAGTGCATACAATTATGTATAGTTATGATACTTGATAATGATAATAATAATCAACTATGTTACTGATTTATGTATTTACTATACTATGCTTTTAATCATTTTTAGAGTGTACTCTTTCTATTTATTAAAAATAGAAAGTTAGCTGTAAAACAGTATGCTGTGTTACACCAGCAACAGCCTCATACATCTCATGTTTACTGAATCTCTTGATTGCATCATCTTCTCTTGTGCCTAATCTCACATTGTTTTATAAACTTATTGTAGGTGAAGTATAGTGTTTAAAATTTTATAATAGTATACAGTAATGTCCTGGGCTTTCACATTCACTCACCACTACTCACCCAGAGCAACTTCCAGCTATGCATGCTCCATTCATAGGAAGTGCCCTATACATGTGTGCCATTTTTTATCTTTTATACTGTTTAACTGTACATTTTCTATGTTTTGATATACAAATACTATTTTGTTACAATTACCTACAGTATTCAGTACAGCAACACTGTACAGGCTTGTAGCCTGAGAGCAACAGGCTGTAACATATAGCCTAGATATATAGTAGGATTTAACCTAGGTTTGTGGAAGTATAATCTATGATGTCCACAGAATGACAAAATCATCTAACAACACATTTCTCAAAATGCATCTCCATAATTGATACCTGACTGTAATGTTTTCCAAAGTAACTGCACCAATTTGCATTCTCACCAGCAGTACACAAGGATTCCCTTTCTTCCACATCCTTGTCAGCACTTGTTATCTATTATCTTTTTGATGATAGCCATTCTAACAGATTCAAGGTGATATCTCATTGTGGTTTTGATTTGCATTTCTCTGATGATTAGTGATGTTGAATACCTTTTCATGCACCTGTCAGCCATTTGTATGTCTTCTCTGAGAAAGAATCTATTCAAATTCTCTGCCTACTTTTTAATCAAATTTTTTTGCTATTGAGTTGTATGAGTTTTTATATATTTTACATGTTAACACCTTATCACACATATGATTGGCAAATATTTTCTCCCTTTGTAGGTTGTCTTTCCATTTGTCAATGGTTTCCTTTGCTGAGCAGACACTTTTTAAATTTTATGTAGTCCCACTGTTTATATTTGCTTTGGTTGCCTTTACTTATGATTTCGAATCCAAAAAAAAATCACTAAGACTGATGTCAAGGAGCTTACTGCTTAGCTTTTCTTTGAGGAATTTTATGGTTTCAGATCTTATGATTAAGTCATTAATCCATTTTGAGTTAATTTTTATATATGGTGTAAGATATCATTTCAGTTTTATTCTTATGCATATGGCTGTCCTGTTTTTCCAACATCATTTATTAAAGAAGCTTCTTTTCCCCATTGTATATTCTAGACTCCTTTTCCATAGAGTAATTGACCATATATGCATGGATTTGTTGGTGAGGAGTGTTAAGAGGGGTGTTTGTTACAATTGCCACATCATCTCATCTGGATATGTTATGAAGTTATCCCTAAACTAAATTTTAAAAATGAATGTTTACTTCCTGGGATATAAACAAAAACCTATTTATTCTGTCATTCAGAGAGAATAAGCATAGCTACTATGATGATTATAAACTATCCTATGATGATAGAAGGAGTCAACATTATGGTACTAAAAGTGGATCTTAGAAATTAAAAATAGGAGATGAACATATAGCCATTTTATGAGGCAATGAAACTTAAGATCTGCAAAAACTTTTTAATCTCATGTGTACAGTAAACTAACAGTGACATCTGAATGGGTGTAGCAAGTTAGTTCATGAAATAGAGAAATGCACGTGGTAGGTTCCTCAATCACAATATATGTCTCCATTTACGTTTTTATCAACTACTTCTTCTCAACCTTGGGATAATAATTGTCGTGATTACAATGCCCCTTATTTATATGGGTCAAATTTCCCCCAGATAAACCTTTCCTGTACTGGCAGTCCTGGAACCACATGTTCCATTGTATTTTGCTTGTAAGTTAATGCTGGCAATAAAACCACACTAATCTTCCAGTCTTGACATATGAGACTAATTTTTCTTAACAATTTATTTGTGGGAATGTAATGAATTTCTAAAAATGTTCTTACTCTCTGATCTTGATAATATCACATTTCTATTCAAATTATACTCTTTTGACTTAAAATGACTATTTAAGTTTGCTTTACTAAAACATGGTATTTTTATTGATGTCCAGAGACGTGAACACTCATATTCAAAACATCAGGTAAGAAGTAAAAGTACTGACATGAAAGGGTAATTTATTTTTGTGCAGGTCTTTGTACATGT